ATGTTTGTATGTCCAAAAAACACATCAAGGTGTCATTTATTGCGCTTTTGGTATTTATGTCAGTTTTTGAAGTTCTGTTAAAATTCTTTCAAGTTACGTTCAAGTTATTTGTGACTTGTGTTAGGTTTATATTTATGAGTGTCCTTGACTTATTTTTGTGTCGGTAGGTAACATAGGTAGTCTTATAAAAGGAAGATGTTATAAGTAGGTAAATGATATGCTCAAGATTCGGTTGCAGGTTGCAGGTAGAATAAAAAAAAAAAAGCTTCACTATTCTAGTGCCCTACAAACATGTACGTATTCATAAAGTACTCACAGATTTCTGAATGTTCTTATGACCAGCGACACATTTTTCCTTTCTATTAGAATATAGATTACCACATTATTCCCATTTTCATTCACGGGTTTTGAGCATTTGAAACGTATTCTTTTAAAAAGTTATCCGATAACTCCAGGTTACTCTTCAGGAAAATATCCCTTTACTAGATAATGAAGTATCAAAATAGTTTGACTCGGGAACTTCTTAATAAAAATAATGTTTAGACGTTAGTTAGAAACTATCACTGTCCTCAATTTTGTGTGGTGTTTAAAGGAAAAAAAAAAAACTTTCCTTTAAATCTGAGCTGTGTTAATAGAACTGTTCTAAAATAAGAAATGTTTTTTCCCCCTGCAGTGTTAGAGAAACACAAGTTTTATGCTTCTTTCTGGGAATAGGAAGTCAGATTTAGCAATCTACTTTCCATTGATTCGACAGGTTTTGTTTGGTACATTTAAATTGTGAGCATCACAGTGATAAAAAGTTTTTTAAAATTGCATTCATTCTTAATTAGCATGTCCTTATTTTAAGTAGAGTATTGACATTGGATTTTTAAAAATTATTAATGATGATTCTTTACTATTGAAAAACCTAAGCCAGTTTGGAGAAGATTTTACATACTTAGATCTGTGCTAGTTTCACTAATCAAAGAGAGAAGTAATTTCAGGTGTTAGATTTTTAGTTGGTTGAATGAGACCCTCACTTTTGGTGGTTTCAGGGTTTTAGATGACGTTTTATTACTTTTGTTAGTTTTGGTCACACCCATGACTTCCTTGGAAGGTAACTTTGAGGTTTGGTTTCCTTTTTTTTTATGGTAATATTGGGGTGGGGGTGCTTCCTGTTTGTATTTTCAAAATTAGGTCCACATAGTAACCTTCTCCGGTGTCACATTTCAATTTTAAACAAAGACAAGCATCAGATGCCATGTGGTTCGTCTTTGACCTGTTGCGCTGCTTCATGACAGTTTTACTGAGCTCAGCCCGAATACCCAATTGGGAAGGCAAGGCCTTCCTGAAACTTGCCCCAGCTCTCTTCAAGATTTAGCAGCCTTGGAAGAACTCTTTAAAAACAACAAATCCGCAATTTTAAAAAAGTGAGGGGGGGGGTAGGAGGGGGGCAGCTACTGCCATCTGTTTCCTCCCAGGTACCTAGAAACTGCACAGCACTAGATGGGGCTGAATCGTGTTCTGTGGAGCCTTGGATGTCAGCTTTTAAAGAAGGGCTGCCCAGCCCGGCCGCTGTGGCTCAGTGGTTGAGCATCGACCCATGAACCAGGAGGTCACGGTTCAATGCCCGGTCAGGGCACATGGCCGGGTTTCGGGCTCGATCCCCAGTGTGGGGCATGCAGGAGGCAGCCGATCAATGATTCTCATCCTTGATGTTTCTCTCTCTCTCTCTTTCTTTCTCTCTCTCTCTCTCTCTCTCTCTCTCTGTCGCTCGAAAGGTTGCCCCTGCTTTATACAATATAGAGCCCCATGTATTAAACAGTGAATATGGCAATTTTTTCTGGCTTCACTTGAGAGCCATACAGAATGTCATGGAGGAGTCAAATAAGAGCAAGGAAACATTTAGGGGATGGTGGTAGAACTTTGGAGGAATCACCACCCTGAGCCGTAAACTCTCCCTTGACCCTCCCCAGTAATTTCCATGTGGTAGGTTACTGTTTATATGTATGTTGGAGTGTGAGTTACATGGAGCCTTGAGAAGTACGTTCTTGAAAGGGGCATGTGATAATGTTGTTTCAGACATTGAAGCAGGTGGTCTTTTCTGGGCCTTCAGCTGACTTGATTCTAAGAAGTGTCATGACTAAATAGACTCTTAATTTAATTGGCATTCAAATATGTTTGCCGTTTAGGGGCGCTTATCCTACATTTTCTTTCGGATCACGTTGCTAAAGGCAGTACTGCGTTAGCATGCTGTGCAGTGATGCATTATGTGATTTGCAAATGCACAATGGTTAATACATACAGAGTATCATAACCTCCCTTACCCCTCTCCCTTACTCAAGAAAGGAGAAGTTATAATTTGTCAGCTACTGGGTATTCTTTGAGTTTATTCATAATAGTTACATCCATTCCCATGTATTATAATACCATTAAGATGAAAAATACATATATTGATTGATAAGGAACATTTATTTATCTTCTGGAAGTTAGCTTGCAACATCTGGTCCGACACTCACTGTCCATTTAGTCTTCTCTTGCCTTTGACACTCTGACTAACTCTTTTTATTTTCCCAGATTTCTATTATGAAGAGAAATATCTCCATATTCTATGCACTGTGAGGTATTTGAAGTCAGCTTGTGCTGACTCATTTTTTAATTATACTAAGATACAGAGGATGGTTTGAGAGCAGTAATAAGATTCTCAGAAAATATAAAAACTTTCCTTTCTGACTCGTTAGAGAAAGGTTGGGGAAGACAAGGGGAAATACATCAATGAGCCAGTCAGTTGTTGTTATTTGTTGGGATGAATTTGGTGACTAAGATTTTCAGTGCCCATCAGGCTAGTAAAAGTGAGTTTGGCTTTACTCTGTAATGCTGACAGGACAAACCCAAGGGTTTTCTAATACTGCTTGTTTTCCCCTGGTAGGGGATTTTTTTGGCGTATGGGAAATCAAGCTGAAGTTACCAGTAACAGCCACATCCATGATTTGTACTAAAAGTGATGATTTCCGACTCTAGGCTATAGCTCTGCTTACTATGGGTTCCTCTGGGAAGACATACTCATTATTATGCCGTCTTTCAAAAAGCGATCAGAAAATTTATTAAAAAGTAACTCAGATTATGTCCAAAGCCTAAAAGTACAAACATGACAAAAATAATACCTAACACTGCCCATTTCCGGTGCCAAGCAGACAGTGTTAAAGCTCTTGCCATGTTTTCACTCATGATCCTCTGGCGGCCGGGGTGGGGTGTGGGGGGCGTTTATCCTCAGTCAAAAGATGAAGAAATGGCCACAGAGAAGTTAAGTAACTTGCCCAAGGTCACATTGCTAGTAATGACGGCGCTGGATCCAGATCCAGGCCACTTTGATTTCAGAGGCGCATTCCTAACCCTTGTCCTGCATAGGAGTGTGGGCAGCTGCAACTGTGCAGTAGGACAGTGGCTTCTTTAAGGCTCATATATTTTTATTTGTGTTCCAGAATGGACTCTTTTTTTTTTTTTTTACATAGAAAAACATTTAATATATTTGGGATTTTTTGAAGTTATGAACATGATACGCATTTTTTCCAACTAATGTATCTATTTCTGGTGGAAATTACATTAAAGCAGGGAGAGTCTTAGTTTTAACTGTAAGTTGTCCTGTGTTGTTCTTTCCCGAGCATTACCATATACACCACAGGAGAAGTGCTGTAAGCTGTCTTGTTGGCCTTTATTTACAAACAAAAGGAACTCTTGTGCCAATGTGACAGGTGACACAAGTGTTTGTTGGCCGAGGACTCAAGTATCCAGCTCATTTTCTTTACAGCTTTATTTTGAAGGGATTTATGGTCCCATTCTTGTTTTAGTAAAGCCACTAATTGTGATTTCTGAGATAGAAGGACTTAAGAATTTTAATTTGGGGGTGGGGGTGAAGGCAGCTGAACAAATTGCTGTGCGTTTAGGGCGAGGCAAATGGTCATTAGAAACCAGCCCAAGAAACATATTCCTTTTCATATCTGATGCTTATTTCCTCTGAGCACTTTCCCTTGGAGGTGGATTGTGGAGTTAAATCTTGAAGCTATAATTCACAAGACTCTACATTGTGCATTGTAGAGCCTCATTCCTAAAGTGTAGTGATTTGAATTTGAAAGATCAAGTCGGGGGTGAGAAAAAACTTTAATTCCCTGAGCAGAGAGTATAAACTAGTTCAAATAAACAGAGGATGTTAGCTTCCAGGATTGTCAAACTGTCACCTTTGACCAGGGTTGAATTTTCTTTGAATGTTGACAAAAGTTACAGTGTCAGTGGAAAAAGCTTCATGTGAAGTATCTATAACTCAGAATTTCCTTATGTTTGTGTCAGTGAGATCCTACAATTAACGCTTTTTAACATGTCTGTTGAGTCTAGGAAGCCTTCCGTGGGGTTTTCCAGCCTTTGGGTGGGAGTAAATTAGAAAGCTTATGAAAAACTGTTTTATGTTGTCTAACATTCAGAGCCTGTAGCTGGTGGCAAATCGCTACTGTTTTTGTAAAGAATGGGATTTGAAAATCCAACCTGCGGGACATGTCTTAACTAAGCAAGACTCACAGATGTCATTGTAGGATTTATAAAAAGAAACTGCTTAGCACTGAATCTGTTGAGGTACTAAAAATTGGAATTTTTTCAGCTTTATCATAGAGCATTCTTCAAAATGTAGTCATCCATCGTTTAGGTAAAATTACCTCTCAGAAATAATGCTAATTCTATTTTTTTTGTTTCCTGTTTCTAAAAATCTCTTGGTCATCTTTGAGGCTTGAGGAAAGTAGCAAACTGGAGATTTACAGAAATAAGCAGCTCTTTACAAAATGTAACCGTCAGTTTACCCGGTGGGTTTATGTTTTTTAGGATTTGTGATCTGTTTCTGGTAGAAAATGAGGGAGAATTATAGTGAGACTTGGACATTGTAGAGCCTCATTCCAAAAGGTATGGGAGGTCTCATATATAGAGATGCAATGCAAATATTCCTTCTTTTTATGTTGTTATTGGTTCAGCTATGTAGTGATAAATGGAAACCCTGAAGCTTATCCTAAGATGAGTGTATCTTGTGATGAGTTTAAATAGCAAGCGAAGATACTAAATTCACTGTGATGTGAATAGAGATTGGCCTTCCTCCTTAGCTGTTGAAGGTATTAAAACAAAATGGAAAACATTTGGCTTCCTGAGTGACATGGCTGCAGTCAACATGCTGAGCTGGTGCTGAAGCATGAACCCTTGATTTTGCAACACCAGAGCAAAGCACGTAAGTTTAAAGGGATGGGTCCGTAAGTAAGATAGCTCATTACCTTAAGCGCACATTTTAAGTTTTGTCCTAGAAATGTGACGTCGTCCGAATTTATGGATTTGAATTTTTATTACCCAAATGTGAAGTCTTGTTTGGACAAAACTTAGCATTCTATTCCAGTTGATTGGTACATTTGAACAGGACAAACTTAAAACAGTGGCTTTTATGGAACAACTCATAAAAGAATATATTGAAATATACATATTCATATACAATATGCATACATCTTAAAAACTTCTTTATGCTCAGAATGCCAGAAACCAAAGGTAAATGACAAAATAAGGAAAAAAAAAATTTTTTTATCCTCACCTGAGGATATTTTCCCATTGATTTTTAGAGAGAGTTGGAAGACAGAGGGAAAGACAGAGAGAAATATCAGTGTGAGAGAAACACATCAATTGGTTGCCTCCTGCACGTGCCCCGACCAGGGCGGAGCCTGCAGCTGAAGCGCCTGCCCTTAACCAGAATTGAACCCGGGATCCTCTGGTCCATAGGCCGATGCTCTATCCATTGAGCCAAACCAGCTAGGGCAGAAAAGTATTTTTAAAAATATATATTTTATTGATTTCAGAGAGGAAGGGAGAGGGAGAGAGAGAGAGAGAAACATCAATGATGAGAGAGAATCACTGATCGACTGCCTCCTGCACGCCCCAGTTGGGGATCAAGCCTGCAACCCGGGCATGTGCCCTGACAAGGAATTGAACCGTGACCTCCTGGTTCATAAGTTGATGCTCAACCACTGAGCTACTGGCTAGGCAGACTAACAGCATCGAAAAAATAAAAACATTGTTGCTTAGGAATATGAGGGAAACTGACAGTTCATGACTCGTTGGTTGAAATGTAAATTGGTGCTTTTTTGAAGTTTGATATGTGTATTGAGAGCCTTAAAAATGTCCCTATACTTTTATCTAACAGTTCCATTTAGATGACAGAATCTCGAATGTGTTCAAAGATTTGTATACAAGGCCATGCCTCATCGTGTTATTTAAAATAGCAATAAATTGGAAAACAACTCCATGTTCAGCATTACAGGATTAATGAATTTTAAATTTAGGAATTTCTATACAATAGAATACTATTCAGCAGTTTCAAATCATGTTATGAAAAATATTTAATGACTTAGGTAAGGTTTATAATATATTACTAAATGAAAAAGCAAATTATAGCCCTGCTGGCGTGGCTCAGTGGTTGAACATAGCCCTATGAACCAGTCACAGTTCGATTCCCAGTCAGGCCATATGCCCAGGTTGCGAGCTTGATCCTCAGGGTGGGGCGTGCAGGAGACAGCCAATCAATGATTCTCTCTCATCATTGATGTTTCTATCTCTTTCTCCCTCTCCCTTCCTTTCTGAAATCAATAAAAAAATATTTTTTTAAGAAGCAAATTATTTTTTAAAAATCACATACAATTGTGCTTGGAAAAAAGAATAAGCATTAAAAAAAGATTTCTTCTGGGTTGTGAGATTCCAGATATGTGTGTGTGCGCACTTCCTAGCATTTCCTGTTCATTATTACCTGTTTAATGAACAGGAAATACTTTTACACTCAAGAAAAAAGTTACTTTAATGAATTGATAAAGAAATTGTGATATTTATATTCTTTCTTTATATATAATGGAGTGTTATTCAGCCATAAAAGTAAGGAAATCCTGCCATTTGTGACAACATTGATGAACCTTGAGGTCATTATGCTAAATGAAATGGCAGACAGCGAAAGACAGATATTACATGATCTCACTTAAATATAGATATAATAATAATAAAAACAACAGCTCATAAAAATAGCAGATTGGTGGCTGCCAGGGGCTGGGGGTGGGGGAATGAGTGAAGGTGGTCAAAGAGTACAAACTTCTGTTGTAAACTCTGGGGATGTAGTATGCCGCATAGTGACTATAGTTAACAATGTATTGTATAATTTAAAGTTGCTAACAGAGATATTAAAAGTCCTCACCCCCCCACACACACAAATTGTAACTAGGTGGTGGATGTGTTTACTAACCTTATTGTGGTAACCATTTTGCAATACATCAAATCATTGTACATGCACACTTTAAACTTCCACAGTGTTATATGTCAATTGTATCTCAATAAAGCTGCGGGGGAAGTAATTTTTTAAATGACATTTGTGTATTGATTTATCTTAGAATAAACAACCTGTTTTTGTTTTCAGTTAATGTTTCCTTTTTAGGAACAGAAAAATGAGTAATCTGCATTTGTGTTAACTATTTGGCATGGTATACTTATTTAGTATGATTAGATGACGTATTTTGTTGAGGAGCTATATTAAAATCATTACCATTGTATTCAACATTTTCAGAGTTAAAATAATTTGAACTTGAGCAGTGAGTTATTTCCTATACTTGGTGGAATGCTTCATAAACTGATAACAAATTATATTGTTTTCTAAATATGATAAAGAAATTATAATGTTTTACATACTTGTGTATGTGCTCTGCTAAGCTACTATTCCTTTCATGTTGAAGGTGTGTGTTTGTTGTTGTTTTGACTTTTGGGGGAAAAAAAACAGGCTTAGTTTATTTTAACTTCTTACAACCCCGAGCATTGTATTATTTCAATATATTTCCTGCACTTGTTGTTGTACTGCTTTCTCTTCCATGATGATACCTACAAAGGTTGCTAGGTTTCTTTTCCTTGTAATTCCATTAGTCATGCCTAATGACTCCTCTAAATGTTTGTTATGGTATTCATTTGGGAATATCTGGTAAAGGAAATGTCTAGCAAAAGATACTTTCTCTTGGGTATATGTTATTAGTAACACAAAAGATGTGTTCTGACTTAATTAAATTTACATTAAGTAGTTTATTTGTAACTAGATTTGAGGAGTTTAAAGAAGAAAAAGGGAAATAAACTAGAAGTTGATGTTTTAGGAGAATTCTGGAGCCATAGCTGCTTAGGTCTTTATTACTTTGCAGCAAATAAAATTACAATCTTAAAAAAAAACACCACATGTATTTTTTGAGCCCAGCAGAAGACTTACTTATTTTATGTAAATGTCATCTCAGTAAAAATCTACCTTAGATTATGCCTTATAATTTATTGTAATGAAATTTGCTGTAACAGAATTTTATTTTAAGTTAGTTTTGAGACTACTAAAGTATAAAAGAAACCAGGTAGTATCTTTTAATGCTTTTAAAACCTAAATCCATACGTAGTTAATTCAAATTCATAAAGATAAATATTTTCACATATTGAAAATAAAATTATAGCCCTAGCTGGTCTTCCTCAGTGGATAGAGCATCAGCCTGTAGACGAAGGGTTGTGGGTTTGATTTTGGTTAAGAGCATGTATCTCAGTTGCAGGCTCGACCTCCAGCCCTGGTCGGGTGTGTGTGTGAGACAACAAATCTGTGTTTCTCTCTCACACGGATGTTTCTCTCTCTGTCTCTCCCCCTCCCTTCTACTCTCTCTGAAAATCAATGGAAAAATGTCCTCAGGTGAGGATTAAAAGCAACAACAACAAAAATGGCCAACAGTTGGATTCCATAAAAAAAAAAAAAGAAAGAAAGAAAGCCATAAACATATTGCCCAATATGCCTTCATTAACAAACCTGTTAATTTTTTGGTTCTTTTTGCTTATAACTTCTTACCTCCTGTCTCCTGAAAATTTGATGATCTCATTTAATCCAAAATTATGTTTTCCTTTGGTTCCAGTTTATTTGTAGTTGCTGATTTATCACTGTGATATTATTGTGACCCGTTAGCCCAGTTTCTTCTCTTACGTGTCTTAGACATCTTCACCAAACCATGAGGCATTTTATAAATCATTTAAATTAGGGGGCCTCAAATTTAGCATCGTATATTTTATAATAATAGCATCAATTAATTCGACAACATATTTTAAAAGTGATACCTAAAATGATTTATCGCTGTCTGCAGGAAAACTAGTTAGTTACTTGTTTGTGTTACTTGTCTTTATCCGATTTTGAGAACTTGGCTATCCTCACAAAGATACGTCTTTTCCAATCTGTAAATCTGAAGGTTATCTTCTTCTTAAAGGAGTTCAATGTATGTGAGATTCAAAAGACTGCAAAAAACAAACAAAAAACACCTTCTTTCAGACGTTAACATAATTTTGTTGGAAACTCTTTAATTTGCTTTTTGTCTCTCAGTTGCTAGAGGGCTTTTTGAAGTTTTATGTGTGGGAGGGTGGTGTTTAAAATACCTCCAAGGTGCCCAGCCCGTGTGGTTCAGTGGTCGAGCCAGGAACCAGGAAATTGCAGTTGGAGTCATGGTCAGGGCACATGCCTGGGTTGCAGGCTCGATCCCCAGTAGGGGGCGTGCAGGAGGCAGCTGATCGATGATTCTCTCTCATCACTGATGTGTCTATTTCTCTCTCCCTCTCCCTCTCTCTGAAATTAAATAAATAACTAAATAAACTAAATAAACTAAAACACCTCCACAGTAAGTAAAGAAATGTATTCCAAAGTTTTATAGTAATTTGGCTATTTAAGTAAGACTTAGTACGAAGTAAGTATTTGTTGACGAGTGAATGAATGGGCTGTACAATCACACCTGCTTTTTAAGGCACAGTTAGACAACACCGTGACCCATTAAACTAGATATGCCAGTGGTTGTTACCCATTTGGGGATTAGAGGGTGTTTTGAGACTCCGATTAAACCATTGACTCTCTTCCCAGTAAAATACACGTACGCATGAAATTTGGCTTACACTTGAAGAGGCTCATGGACTCTAGTTGCAAGCCCCAAATATAAACAGCCAGCTCCCCATTAACACAGGTGATGGAATTAGAAAATATGGAGAAGAGAGAAATAATCCAAACGTACGGTTACAGCAAACCTCTAGTCTGATCTTGTTATCTGGGGGCTCAGGAGGGACTTATTTTCTCAGGAACTTAATAAATATCCATCTACTGGACCATTTAAGGTTCCATTGTATAGCTCTACCATAAATTAGTTAATCTGTTCATGGATATTTAGG